GAAATTAATGACATTTTAGGAGGTGTGGAGTGGTAAGGATTTCGAAGACCATCATTCGCATTTATTGCAAAAGCCGATGTCCTGAGGAACCGAAGAAATCCATTGTTTTGTTTATTGTGATTAGTAGCGACTGGTGGCAGTATTTGAATGAGAAAATATCTGTCAAAAATCAGTGAAAGACGTTTCCATGGAAGAACGACGCATAGTTCCACATTGGATTGGGGTAAAGGCGCTAATGGTTACTGCCTAGATCGTACCCATACTTCAAGCTAATAACTTGCGAATGCTGATGTAATACTAGACCAATCAGTCTGCAATGACGGAACAACCCCTCATTGTAAGGGATGTGGTAAAAATTCCGTCAACGAAAAATTATGCATACTATTTGGGTACTGCAAAAGCATATGTTTGCTATTGCAGACATACGTTGCGCGGACATTAGTTTATCTATACCTTCGAGTGAGCATGTCTTATACAGACTATCACAAGAATCGGGAGCATGTGAAGAAAGCAAATGGCTTGACAAAGAAATAATCTTGTCTAAAGATTCGATAACTGCACGAAGCAGTCAGCGTCTACAGGCTTTACTTCCCTCTATCTCTTACCTGAGCCACTCAAACTCCTCAACAAGTCTCCATTCACTGACAAATTTGAAGAGATGCGACTGAGGCTCAGGAATTGAGCCGATGGAGGACGTAGAGCCGAAAAGTTGTGACGTGGTCAGCGAACCCGGCGGTGGGTTGTTAATGAGTACGTCGTCAGGCAGCCCGTTCTCCTCTTCACTAGCAGAACCAACACCAGGAGTCGCATTGATCGGGGAAGTGGTGGCAGCGACCGAGGAAAGCAAACGACGCATTGGCGGCTGTCTTGTGCCTGTCAGCTGCTGTAAGAACTTGGCCATTGTTTTGAAAATGAACGTTGGCATCTTCGGCACCGGTAAGGTAAGACTATGCAGGGCACCCATGTGTAGTGCCACACAATCTCGTACCGACGGATGTGCCAACTCCTCTGTTTTCAGCGTTCGGGACTAGAGGAAATGTGCATCTCATTGGTTAAAGATTTGATAAAACAACTTCGAATGTGAAACCTTACTCGTCGGAATCATTATAGCACCGGATTTATCAAACACCATTTTAGCCCATATTCAGTGTAACCAGCTACGCGGACATTTATCTGTCACAGGTTATGGAATTAAACCTTACTACCAGAGATTTGTCTAACACTACGAAAATACACGGCAAATCACGATGATGACTCAGCATCGAAAATGCTAAAACGACAGAAAGCCGTAAAAACATCTGGGTGACATTTAACTCCTTCAATACAAGCGAGCCATTTCTGAAAAACACTAACGCCATGACAGCCCCACTTGGTATCTCATGCTGACTGAGTTGACAACCCTTGTGCCAAGTACGAAATATGTACTTTTGCCAACACATCCAATGAGAACGGCGTGGCATCCCATACCTTTGCCTCGTTTCTGATTGGTTAGCGCTAGCAGCAAAAGGTGAGCGGTTTTTTTGTTGCCGTGGTAAATGGAATAAGTGGGAAATAGTAAGCAGTCCATTTAGGCGTGATAGAGATCCACCTAAACTAGCCCCTTATCGATTGCTGCACTCTCAAGTTGGTTGCATTTAGGTCAAAGAGAAAGGGGTCAACAACATAGCTGCCTTTTGTGCTTTTGGAAACGATGG